GATGTTGGAAAAGTCTACAAACATATAGGTATATACATATGCATATAAGTGTTTACATACACCATTATTCAAACCTGTTTTGGAACACAAATGCACTTTTCAAAGGGGCCAAGCACATCACACACAAAAAATACGTGCTTATTATAGAGTTCACTATGCGGATTTCTTCAAAAGCCCATTAGCAATAAGGCAGGCAAATATTTCAACACTAAGTTTCAGAAATTCAGAAGGGGGAAGATTTCCTTCTTTTCTGATAAGAAAACCCCGTGATTCACTGAGACAATCAGTGCTGAAAACATGCCTTTTGCTGCCATCAAGTGGCTCTTTTTGGAACATTCTTATCACCCCTGATGTGCTAGCTTTGCTTCCCCACCACTTCCTTTCCTTGTACATTATACATGGAACACCCTTTGGGGAACAGGGATATTTGAAAAGACCAAGAAAGCCTTTCCTAAATTCAGACTTTCTACTATAGATGCTATAAAAATTACATTACTAAGAAATTCTTCAGAAAGACAACTTCAAAAAGTGTTTGAAGTGTCCAAAAGCTAAAAATCCTTCCCAGCTGCATGTGACCTGCTCAGTTTCCAGTCTGTCAGTAAAGGCCTGGACTTTGGAGTACATCTCTCTCATTAACACCATACAAAGAATTTCTAAACAGGCTGGCTTTAAGACATTAGTTGAACACAGAGGAAATCAGAAAATTTATTGAGAATAATTTTTAATCAAATCAAATCCCATTACTGTGGGGGAAAATGGTTTGATTCTTCCTTTCTACCAGTGTCTCAATTTTGCGAGACTTATTCCTATGTGTAAATAGTGCAGCATATTTTATAGTCACTGCAGAAGTTCAACTACGATTACTACATAAACCCCATTCTAATTTAGTAAATTCCTCTTCCTCCTTTTTAATTTTGAGTATCTTGCCTTTTTTTTTCTCCCAAGAGATGTTTAATTAAACTGGTAGTATAATCTAAGGAAAAAGGACAACTTCCACTTTAAAAACAAAACAAAAACAAAAATCGCCATGGCAGCAGCCCCTTCATATTCTGAGAAGGCGGCAACTCAGACACTTGGGTTCTTTTGACTGGAAAACGCATTCACGTGATTTTTGTTATGAAAAGAAAAGCCTCGGGTATATCAAAGTGGGCACAAGTTGAGGCAAAAGAGAACTAAATTGCTCTAAATAATAAAACAGAGGAATTCTGCAAGTTATTGGTGGGGGAGAGGGCACTGGAGAGAAGAACCTGACATGGGGAGAAAAGAATAGCCAGAGACATTTTGGGAGTTCCAAAATCCAAAGGAAACTGTATTTTAAAACCACAAAACTGCACCTGTGGTTATGACATGAATTCCCTGGGAGAATTTCCCCACCAGGGTCTGGTTTAAGCCTGTGCTAGTGATTATGTGCTTTCTATTCTACCCTTCTTCCTCTGCAGCCTTTGCTGGACCACCTAATGTGGGGACTTCTATTTGAATCTCTCACTTAATATGAGCCCACATCCTTGTGTTTGGTCTATACTTGAAAGTTAAAACTGAAGTCCCTAAGTTACTGCCTCTGAGCATCAGTTCATAGGCTTACTGCCCTGGTTTTTATATCCTTCCTCATTTTTGTCTTCTAGGGTTTTTCCTGACCTTGGGTAAGCTCAGCTACATACTTCAAAAGAGTTTATTAGGCTGTATTATATTCTCCAGTAGTTCTAAGGATTTTGTAGTAAGAGAAGCTTCAGGTTTCTTAGTCTTCCACCTAGTAGAAAAAGAAGTTGCTCATAAAATGCCTGGATGTGAAACTCCACCTAGGATCAGCACCTTCGCTGAAATAGTATCCTTACCTACAACCTCCAAGATTTATATAAAGATAAATTTAGTTTCATCTTGGTGTATTAAAGAATAAAATAAGTTACTATAAGCAGTGTTAAAAAGCATAGAGGGGCAGAAAGAGAGTCAAAGTGGGAGGAGATATGGATTATCTGAGCCTTAGTCCCTTTCAGCTCAACTAGCTAACTTCCCTTTTTCCCTCTCCTTCTGACTGCCTCTCAGCTTGGCTCCCCAGAGATGTCTAAAACCACAAGAGTTAGTGCAAACTCAGGGAATTCACTGTAATGACAGAACAGGAGCCAGGCAAGCTGACTTTTTACCAAGTCAGTTATGGCTAAAAACTCTTGAGGTTCTCATCTAGATAAACCTAGGGATTCTGTTCTCTGTAAAAAGGGATTATGGAAGCCCAGTTTAGCCTAAATTTACACTCATTCCTAAAATTAGTAAGTGCACACACACACACACACACACACACACAGGCACACAGGCACACATGCATGCATACACACACACGCACACACACATAAAACACACAAAACTTTCCCCAATCTAGGGAAATATTTTCTTCCTCTCTGAAACCCTACAGCCAACCAACACTCAATTTAGTCCTGGACTCTTGCCGTTTGGAAAGGAGTCCTAAAATACATGAATAAAATACTTCCATCATAAGAAGTCCTAGAAACCCTTTTGGGAATGTTCGAGGCCAATATTCCTAGAGAGATCCACAAACAAGCACACATTGAAATCCCCAGTGCAAGTCAGATTCAGTGTAAAGAGTCCTGAATTCCCTCCTACCACCAGCAGTCCTCTGATACAAACCCAGCCAACTGTGATGTCTGTATGCTCACACCCCATGGCTCCATCATTCCCTGCCCTGCAGTGGATGAAGCAATGCCTCAGATAATGTGGTGTCTCTGAGATGATCCCAAATGTTCTCTCAGTCATATCCATTTGTTCTAAGAACTTATTTTCCTTCAAGCTGACATTCCTACTTCAAAGTGCTCACTAACTCAAATGATGTTTTTCATAAAAGTTAGTAATATGTCTTTTATAAATGGTTATTTAATTTTTTCATCTGTAGAACTAAAGCATTTGTCCCTTGCTTCTGTTTTTTTTTTTTTTTTAATGTAGCACATTTAAGACATCCTCTCAATAAAAGATCCTTTTCCAACAAAGATGAGCCATATTGGTGAAGAGTTCAACGGTTATATAAGAATCTGTGATATTGTATTTAGCCTGAGAATAAAAGATAACCCCTTTCAATTTCAGTTAAGACACACATAAATTCTACACTAACTATTCTCTTATTTCCTGTGCATACTTCCTCTTTCTTTCAATTTTCAAATTCAGCTTGAATGATAACATACAGAAACTAGCTAACAGGCATATGAAGAATGATTAACAGTGTCAACCACCTTTCAGATCTGGCTGTATTACTAAAATTCACTTCTTTATAGTTCATCTCCTCTATTATTGCATAAAATGGAGATTGAATTAGAATATAATATGAAACAAGTGGCAAAACCTCTCTATCTTCAGTCTCTCAATCTGTAAAATGGAAATAATAGAATACCTATTGCATAGGGTCATTGTGAGGTATAATTGAGACAATTCTTGTCTGTTACTAAATGCTCAATAACTGTTAGCTCTCATTTTATTATTAGCAGTTGAGTGCTTTACAGTGTGCAAGGAATTATTTATTACTGCATTTAATTTACTGCCTTCAAATCTGCTTCTTTCCTCAGAATAAGCATTTCTGGTTGGCACAGACCTCATTAGTTCTATATTAAAAAAACAAACAGAATTAGATAAAAGTCAGCTTTTGAGCAAAATATATATTTTATATACTATATAACTCATTATTTCTATCAACAACTTAAAAAGTGTAATTTTTACATAGGTCCCTTCTTCTGGTCCCAGTGCTCTCAGTACACAAAACTTCACAGAGAGACCTTTGGTGGTGTTGGGTAATTCAAATTATTACCCATTCTGCTACCACGGGCACTGCTCCAGGGCTGAGGCATATGCTGACTAGCCACAGCTTAGATCTGTGACTACATCATTTCAAAATAAATAAAGCCATCATTCTAAGTCCAAAAAATAATTACAAAGTATTTTAATAACTTTCTGAAGCCTGAATATACAAAATCACATCCTTGAATTTACCATTTGCTAGTATGTACTGAAGTATAAATCTTGTGAATTATCTTTTTCCCTTTACCATGTACCTATCTTAACGGCAGGGGAAAAAACAATAAAATTTTAAATGAGCTTCCATTTCAGTATTGAACAGTGGTGGCCAAAATCTATACATAATATTAAAACAACTGCACACTGTAGAACTAGATGACAATTTTGCCTAGCTTACATTTGGAAGAAAGGGGTATTACTTAGCTCTCTGATCTATTGGAGAGAATAGATCAAAACCTTCCTTGGTAACTATTTCAGTGTACAACAAATATTTAAGGTGGTTTATTATTGTCACTAATCTAATTCTCAATGCTGTGGGCTAAGCCAATCTCCTTATATTTTGCCCTTAAAACTTACTGAGAGCAAACCAAGAGGAAATCATACTGAAAGACCAATCCTTGTGTTTCATTATATAATGAAAGAACTGGAAAAAGTTAGAAAAAAATCTGCAATCCATTTGATAGCACATCTTCATGCCATGGTGATCTGATAGGTATGGATCACAACCTTGGATTTCACACAGCGTGGCCCACTTTTAAAACAACCCATTTATAACAAAGGTCTCTCTGTTGGGACTGTCAAGAGAGCAAAATAAATGCCACCAGTACCAAACACTTTTATTTAATCAGGTACTGTAGAGCAATGGAATCACAAACCTAGAGACCTTCATCTTAGCCCCACTATATAAATCATGTGAATATAACAAATCAATAACATTTCCCGATTCTCTGTCACAGTAATGAAATTAATACCTTCCCTCCAACTACCCCATAGAAAAGACCCAAAGAATAAGGAAGAAATCTACATAGATGTTATGTACTTTTTGGAAAAAAAGATTCTAATGTCTTAAGTAAGAAAAATGCACAAATTATCCTTATTTAGGTTAGAATACTGGTAAAGGAGATTTAGACTACTACAAACCAAAAAAGTATTCAACTCTTATGGTTTCAAACATAACACTCACCACCGTAGAAAGGGAAAAGATAACCTACCCCATGTTCCCATCCATTAGAAGAATCGTGTTGTATATGTGAGAAAAAATGAAGAGAAATAGAATTGTGCTGAAGAACATTGTCATCCACGATCCATGATCCTCTCGAAACATTTTTAATCGGAGCAACTGACCTGAAATGCAAATATTATTCAAAATCAGTGTACACTGTAACTCAAAATGCATACATCTTTGCTTCATTTCAGTGAATCTCTATTATCTCACTGTGTTTTGCAGTCTTTGCCATAGGACTGCCTTATGGGTAAAACCACGATGTAATGTCCTTTTTGCGTTTTTGCAAGTAAATGACCATGAATGAAGCCCAAGACAACCCTCACATCACATTTCACCCTAGAATAAATAGTACTAATGTGAGAATCTAGTGTACAGAGATTGTTCATTATGCTGGCATGAAAACAGATGAATTAGAGCACTACTACCTGCTATTTTTTATTTCACAAATATGTTCTTGGTTCATACTGAAAGTACTTGAGGCAAATGGTAAAGAAGTTGCATAAGTTCTATATCATTTCCTTTAGTTTTCATAGATCTGTTCCCAATATCAGCCAGATGATAAAACCAAGGCCAACCTCACTTATAAGAAGATCCAAGTGTTTAAAGTATCTGAAAACTTGAGAGTGAAAAATAAATTCTAAGTTATAAGACACAGTAGGCTTAGCCTCACTCTTAGCTAAAATAGTGTCCATACCCCTGTACAAGTATAATACATGCACAAGTGCATGGGAGAGGCGGTCTAGTATGTGTGGTTGGCATTATGCTGGGTGTGGCTTCTGGCAAAATTTAATTTCCGCCCTGATGCCTAAAATTCCATTTACAAAGACAAATGCCAAAATTAGAGAGAATAATAAAATGCAAGTACTTTTAGGAGGAAAAATATATTAAGATCAACTCTTAAGTAAAAATTACTCATATCAGAATTGTCCAAAGAAATGTTGTGATTTATGGTAAATAAGAGAAATCAGGGCACCAGTATTATGAAAGGTGAAGAATTTGAAAAACCATAAAAGTAAGGAAAAAGTGAACATAGGTCACCTTGGCTCAAGCTCCCAAGATAAATTTTATCTATTATAGTTATCTTCATTGCTGAGAAAGTATTAATATGTCTAAATAACAATAAGGGAGATGATATACATATAGGAACTATAATTAAAATAAGGTAGACCTGAAAACTGAAAATAAAATTTCCTATGAGAAAATATTCCCTTTGTTTAATGACATGCCAAAGTTATGAAATATATACATTTCTTTCTGGAAATTCCCTCTCTAGGGACAGACAGTATCTCTCATATAGCTTACTGAGCATACAAAGGAATAATCTTTTAAGATTTAAATACTAAGCTTTCCCTTATATCTCACATTTATTAAAATAGCACTTTTTAAAAACAGATTTCAAATGTAATTATGCAAAATAATTCTTCATGGGCTGCAAACTTCACTTCGACCCTGACCACACAGATTACCCTAACCCCTGTACCCAGGTAATTGTGACCTCTCTCTCTCTTCAAGTGCTTCTTTTTTTATAAATTTTTTTTTATTTTTAATTATTATGGGTATCTAATGGTTGTATATCTTTATAGCACTTGAGCTTTTATTTGGAAATCAGGCTAAAAGAAAAATTACCCTAGCTAAAATTTTATTTTTTATTTTTTTTATTTTAGCGTATTATGGGGTTACAAGTGGTAAAGTTACATATATTGCTCATGACCCCCTTCCCCCTTGAGTAAGAGCTTCAAGCGTGTCCATCCCCCATACATTGCACATCTTACTCGTTGTGGTTGTATATCTGGTTTCTTGGCCTCTGCAAGAAAAGCAAAGGGCAAATCTGAAGGTGAGGGGGGACGTGACCATAAAACTAAAATAATAATATGGAAAACCCTATATTGAAACAATAGATACTAGCACTGTGAATTGTAAGATTACAGAACTTGTTGATTTAACAGAATCAATAATAATGGAAACCCAGGAATTTCTAAGCCTCCACATAACACATCGTCAGGAATATTATAAATAGATATTAAGCACAGAATGCTTGAGAGTAAAAACACATGCCATAAATATCTTAAAGTAAACTGTAAAGAATGTGTATTCATTCACTGAACAAACATTTAATGTGTGCCTAATACATGCCAGACATGGCTGTAGGTGCTGGAGATTCGGCTGTGAGTAAGGCAGAGAGTGCTCAAAGTCATTCATCATTTGAGTGTTTAATGGAAATGTGACCTTAGTTTAGACTCTTGGGCTCTCTTTGTTCTGGGTTCCCTTTGCTGCAGGCCCTTTCAGCTTCAAACCAAGACCTATTTATTTAATTCAATAGCTGATCTTGAAGAACTTCAAAGACCAGCAATTAGAGTTCCTTTAAGATTTAAATGTGAATTTCTTTAACATAGGCATGTGTCAAAGAATTCACTAAGAGATGTACTTTAAAAAATCAAATAATAATGCTGGTGATTTAACAGTGCTTTGCAAATAACACATTGTGTATTAACTGTACAGGGGCTAAAATAATACAAAGTTAGTAAAAAGAAATGTGACAGTACCATTTATGCTGTCATTGCCAGGCTCATTGTCTGGCACTAATTTCAGCCATTAAAGTTATTAAAAACAAAATGGCAGGTTAACACAGCTTGAAATTCACTGGAAGAGCACAATAAAAGTGCTGCAATATATTAAGTCCAGAACTGGTGTCACCCAAGTGTTGAGTCAAATGGCATTATAAAAATTTCACATAAGCTATCTCAAGGTTAACTCAATGAGTGACACTCAAATGCTAAAAACATGTGCATATAGACTGCCATCAGTTCACTGTTCTCAGGAATGACTTTTTCATACAGTCTAAGCAAACCAAGAACCTTAGCACTGCTGAGGATGTCATATGAAAATATGCTGTCTGTCCTGTAGGGTGACCATATGTGTGGTTTGCTTTGGACAGCAGTGGTTTATAATTGTTGCCCTGGAATAATTAATAATAGTGACCTCTTCCTTTCTTAAGTGTACCAGTGTGGAAAATAAATGATATGCTCTCTTTCCTATAAGTCACAGAATTCCCAGAATTTTATAACACTTTCTTTTAGAGGAGTTTCAGGAGATAACCAACAGAAAACAATCCTTATAGATCAATGGAAGTTAAAAAGAAAATTACTAAGAGGGGTACACATTTCTGACATGGTCAAAAATAATTTTTATTTTAATCATAAACATATTTGTAAATCTGAGGATATATTTATGTTATTAATAAAATCTACCCAGACTTTATAGACCATCACCTTTAATATGGTCAAGGTGACTGGAAAATATAGTTTAGAATAATCAGAAGCATTAAGGTGGTCCCTACATATGTGATGGAGGTGAAGGTTAGAGGGCACAGGGATTGATGATTATGATGTTGGCTAAAGTCAACTGAAATGACCTACAACTTCAGAATTTTTCCTGAAAATACAGTAGGTTTAGAACCACTAAGACGTCATAAAATTCAAAAAAGGTTAATGATCTGAAATCATATTAAAATATAGGCTCATGACTGTAAGCCCAGCACTTTGGGAGGCCAATGAGGGAGGATCTCTTGAGGTCAAGGGTTCAAGACCAGCCTGAGCAAAATATCAAGACCCCCATCTCTATAAAAAATAGAAAAATTAGGCATGATGGCACACACCTATAGTCCTAGCCACTTAGAAGGCTGAGGCAGGGGGATAGCTTGAGCCAGGAGTTTGAGGTTGCAGTGAGCTACAATGATACCGCTGCACTCTAGGCAACAAAGCAAGACCCTGTCTCAAAAAAAAAAAAAGGCCAAAAAAACTATAAATAGATATATATACATACACGAAGCCTATAAGATCATATATGTTGTGGAAAATAGAGGCCGAGGTAGACAAATATAACAGGGAGAATTATGGACAAACTACTTGATTTATTGGGTTTGTTTTTTTTTTAACTGCTGTGCTTTCATGAGTAAAAGAATAAAAAAGAAACATTACCTTTCTACCTGCCAGAGTTTTTCTAAATCACTAGTTCTAGGTCCCTTTTCTTCAGGAGTGGTTTCACAAGGAGGCCTGAGCAAATAAATAAACTAAAGCATTTCAGAGGAGAAGTATACATGTGTGCTTCCAGGTAACAGACAGGGGCAGCCCCATGCCTAGAAGGCTCTTAAAGCAGATCAGACAGTGCAAGGGCGTCTAGTTTCATAAAGGATATAAAGATTTATATGTCTCCAAGGTGACACAGCCTCATTTGGGGGTGATTACATGGATGCTGGTGAAGGCCAAGGTATCTAGGGGCACGGCTATGGAAGTCTATGGCTATGGTTGTCACAATGGGGACAAGGGAATGGCGCCAGGGGCAGCCACCCACCCCCATGAGGAACACAATGACCTGAATAGATCCCGGCCACCTTAGACAGACTCACAGAGCCAAAGAAGTAGTGGAAGACCATTACCCAGGCAGCATGAGGAGAAGGGGTGGAGAAGTAATTACAAGCTGAGGGATTTATTTCAGGACCCAGACAAGCCCTAAGACGTCTGTAAAACTTTAGTGATAGAAAACATGATCTGAAATATTATTAATATTGTACTCTCTTCTTATCTTTGTAAGCAGAAATTCAGAGCAAGATTAGTTTAGAGGAAAAAGTGCGGCATTACACATAAGACCCTGACCAGAAAATATAAGAGGACAAATAAAGGAGTACTTTCCTCACGGAGAATGCATACCAAAATTAACACCATTATCCATTAAGTTTTCTGCTCCCAAATCCCCATGTATGATTTGACCACCCATATACATAAGAAACAAATGGAATCTTCAGTTATTTAAAATAATATATTTACTTTGTTAGAATCAAAATATAGTCAAAGTAGCATAGCAGGCATTCCACATACTAGTAAGAATATGCTCCATTGCAAATAACAAAAACAAAACAAAAAACTAAGACAAGTTTAATTATAAGGAATCTTTCTTTATTGGCTTCCTTCTCATATTTTCTATCTTTTTTCTCAAATTTTTTCCCTAAACCAAACAAAATTAATTAATTAATAAAAATTAATTTTATGCATCCAATAAATGTTCAGAAACTAATGTAGATGTAGTTTAACTAAAGGAATGGAATGACTTCAAGCAAGGCTTG